TACAAAGCTTTTTAAAAAGTTTATTTTACATAAAATTTTCAGAAATTTCAAGATTCAAATTATGCCAAGGGCATCCAGATATGGATCGTATAAGCCTTTTCTATATCTGTTCAAGGTATCATTTCACAAAGAGTACATTGTGTGGCCAAGGTCCAAACCTCAGGAAATATCTGAACAACTTTGTATTTTTTTTTTTATTGTTCACATAATTAGGATGAATAGAAACATCTCCAAATACTTTCAGCTCACCTAAAAAGTGCTGGGGGTTTTTCCTATAAATATTCATGAAGACACAGCTGAATCACATATATGCTAAAGCCCTGACACCTAGAACCTCTGGATGTGAAAATATAGTGCTGGGAAATGAAATCTTGGGTGATGAAGTTACAATACGGCCATTAGGGTGGTTTAATGATATTGTGTGTGTGTGTGTGTGTGAGAGAGAGAGAGAGAGAGAGAGAGAGAGAGAGAGAGAGAGAGAGAGAGAGAGCGCATGACAAGACACAGGGAGAAATCAATGCTCCATAACCGAAGGAGAGGTTCCTTTGAAGAAATTAACCCTGTTGACACTTTGCTTTCAGAATTCTGGCCCCTAAAACTGTGAAAAACTGACAGTTTGATTGCTTAAACCATACAGATTTTTGTGCTTTTTATGGCAGCTCTAGCTAACAGTCTGTCACATGTATCATTGCCCCCCCACCCCATCACAGCATTCACCACTAAAATTGCCATAAGCTCTGGTCTTCTCTTGAATTTTTTCTTACCTTACTATTTGTCTTCTCCTCTACAGGAAATTGTCTTTCCACCAAACACTCTCCAGTAAATTCATACATGGGTGAAGTAGTTTGAAATTCAGCTTTATTGTTGGAGGACATATTGTTGGAGGACATGTCTACAACAGCAGAAAGCTCCAGGTCCTGGGTGGTGTCAAGTTTTGATGCCTCCTTTTGAAGTGACAGGCTTTGCTTTCTTTTAAGTGCATTCAACTCCTTCATTGTCATCTCTAATCTTATTCTGAGTTGTCTTCCTTCCTCCCTGGCACTGTTCCTTTCTGCTCGAACTTTACTCCATTTTTCTCTCCAATTGGCAGTGCATTCTGACCACCATCGCATGGTCTTTTCCATCTGAGCAGCTCTGGCCTTGGCTTCTTCAAGTTCCCAAAGTTGAAGTTCTTTGCAAATATCCCAGCTGTCGGTGCTGAAGGAGTGAGCGCTGTAACTATGGCTGGTGTGACACTGTGGACCATGATGTGGGAAGCAGGAATAAACGGACTCCCTCGGGAAGAAGGTAGGTACCATCTGGTCACAGTCTGGTTTCATTGATGACTGCTGCATCTAGAAGATTTGTGATTCCACAATTAATCAATGAATAGAATCAAAATTTGAATTTATCTTGTAAGGTCTTAAAAAGATGCAGGATAAAATTACACATTAACATTTGCCCTGAAATTATTAGAACAAGATTTACATGGAAAAAACAAGGTTTAAAATGATGCATCTTGTCTGTGTGTTGCATATTGCTCTTTCAGCATAACTGAAAATATAAAAAAACTTGTGAACTTATATTTGCCTATAAAAATAAAAATTATTTATATTAAAATTTGCTAGAGGAGGGCTGGCAAGATAGTTCAGTGGTCTAAAGCGCTTCCTTAGGCAAGCTTAGGCAAAGGGCAGGGAACGCTGTTCCATCCCCAGCACCACACACTGTGCTAACCCCACCCCTAGGGCGGGCTAAGCTGGCCAAAACAAACAAACAAACAAAAATTGCCCAAGGGAAAAAAAATTAAGATGAAACTGAAGTCAGCATGTGACATCAGTAATTCCTTTCAAAACATCTGATTAAGCTGTTACACTTGGTCTACACCTTCCGTGGTGACCCTCAACCCCATGACTGTGTCAAAGCATTCATGCGTCAGCTAGGGAAGACAGGAACATCGGAAGGAGAAACCCTGTTTACACTGCTTTCTTCCTGCCTGTACAAAGACACATTTGGAGAAGTGTCACAGACTTCTTGTCACATGGAAGATGGTGAAACAGAAAAAGAAAAGAGCCTCCTTAATGAATGAGCTGCTGTGTGAGGCCTACAGTACTTGCCTCTGGATTCCTTGCTTCATGAGAAGGATGGCCTGCATTTATTTAAACTGTGACTGTTGAGTTTTCCGTAATGGGTATTTGAGAGAATAAATAATTGATGCATACATTAATTTCCTACTTAGGTAAATATTGTGATAGGCTCTAAAAATAAAATATTGTAAGTAAGATATGGTTCTTGTTCTCAAAGATTTTACAGCATAGTTGATGCAAACATATAAATTTTAAAATGCATAATTTATGCCATAAATATTGTATTTATGTATTGATGCAAACTTGTCTGGAGTCAATGATAGATTCTTAGGTAATGTTCATGATGATCTATCAAGTATTAGTTAAAACTATCTTCTAGTTATGAGAATTCTTCTCAGCATAGGTAATACTAAGCAGTTTTAGCAATTTCAAAGTTTTGTAAAGGAATGGAATTAAATTTTACATATAGCTATCAAGGACAAATTAATTTGAAAGTGCATAGCATTGTATCAATGTGTGTACACATTACTTTGATTAATATAATACTATAGCTATATTGAAAACACAATAATATTTTCCCTTTAAAGTAATTGCTTAAATCATACAAATTAATTTTTAAAATAACAAAAGTTTCATAATTATTGAGGATTACTTATGTTTATTCTGAGGTATGATTTTCTGGTGTAAATCATCTTTGATATTTTATGTGCATGACATTAGTTTCTCTCAATTAAAAATTTTATTTTATATAATCACAGATCATAAACTGTCTCCTTATGATCCACGCAATTGAATGGCTTGCATTATACTGGTTAATTTATAAACCCATTTCTTTATTCACTGAACACTGTACTACATAAGATTTTTTCAAAGACAATATATTATTAAGATTACATGATTAAAAGGCTTCATGATATTACAGTTAATTAATATTCATTTTTATTTGTAAGAAGAAGTCGCATTTTGACAAGTGTTCTAAAAATGTGCCATACCAGTTCTTCCCTTATTATAGTACTTATAATAATATAGACTCACAGTAATAATTATTTTGTTAATATTGGTATATGTTCAATCATATGTGAATTAGTACTGAGTTGGAGTACTATAATTGGTCTCTTCATTTACTGTACTTCAGACAGTAATGATGACATGAATGACTACATTTCATGGGCCATTGCCAAACCACAATCAATGTGAAAAAAGAAAAAAGAAAGTTCTATTAGAAACACATATAAAATATTTCTTTCAATTAGAATTCCACACTGAAGACAATCTAATTGTGCATATTAAGATGAAGATTATTTTTGGCCGTCTTAAAAAATAAATCAGTATCATAAAATTCTAATGTCCTTCAAATGGTTCCTTAACTTTTATCTCACTGCACTTTGTACCTCACTGCACGTAATTGTGTTCTGGTACATTGAGATTTTTGCCTACCAATTAACTATGTATTGTTTTTACATCTGACTAAATAAAAAGTGGTTGGGTTTATGAATTCAGGTCTTGAACTTGACTAGCATTTCCTGTTCTAAGATGTTTTCTCGAGCAAAGATAACTTGTTTGATGCTAGGATACTTAATATACAAGCATATTTATTAAATTATTCATCTCTTTGTAGATATGTGTATACCCTCGATGGATTTTTTGGAAGGCTCTGAAAGTACTCACCAGCGGCTGTAGCACAAGATCTTTAAATAAGGGAAATATTTTAACACTGTTAATATTTTAATTTGGTTTTGTACACTGATTTCAATATTATAAAAATGCTCATGATAAGATTACCATGATTGGTGTTATTAATTTTATGCACATATACATGCCTAGTTGTAATACTGAAGGCCAGAAGTATAAAGGGATTTCAGCTGGCCAAAGTCCAAAGAGTTAACAAATCTGCATTCCTTTCTGGGGAGTATAAGAATTAACTTTCTTGTCTTTTCCTCCTTTAGAGACTGCCCTTGGCTCCTGGCTCCTTACTATCTCTCCATCTCCACAGCTAATAGGAAACAAATCTCACTCAGTTTGTGACACTGACTCCAGCATCATTGTCACATCTCTCATTTCTCTCATTCTCTTTGCTTTTCACTCATTAGGGCCCGTAATGACACTAAGTATGCACATACAGTGCATTAGCAAATAATTAATAGATATTGGGTCTGTAATTAACATATAATGTTACTAAATATTATATTTTCTTCTAAATAAGAGCTTACTGTTTAAGAGGGTGAAATACAGACTTTATGAGTTCTAGTTCTCTGTCATGTTTTAGATAATTGACCTCGGACAAATTGCACCAATTTGAATTGATATTTGAATTGATCTTATTTTAGGGGACAGGGGAGATAGCTCAGTGGAATAAGTGCTTTCCTGGCAAATGCAAGGTCCTGAGTTCAATCCCTGGTACTACCAAAAAAAGAAACAAGCAACACACAAATATTCTTATTTTGTGCAGGACAGTTGCACAAGGCCTGCCTGGTAAACGCAAGGCTCTGAGTTTGATTCCTGGAACCAAAAAGCAAACATAGAAAATATTCTAATTTGTAAAAGATGACAAATAATACATCCTAATAATGTTGAATTCCTGGAACTATGAAATGGAAGATTGGCTGCACTATTTTGTATTTTAGGTAAGGTAAAATTTCTCAGCGGTATGGAAATCATTACTACGTCACCTACAAGACTTTTAGGCTATTTTGGTCACGTAACCAGACTGCAGACTATTATACTATTTTATGGGTTTTGGGTTATAGGGTCTTGCTATGAAGTTCAGACTCCTACTGCTCCTCTTGTCTTGGCCTCCCCAGTGCTGGGATTACAGGCATGCACAAACACTAGGTATGCCCAAATGCCATATGTGGGACAGCATAGCATTTGATATTGGGGATGGAGTTCAGGACATTGCACTTGCCAGACAGGCGCTGAGACCACAGAGCTATCTCCCCAGCCCTATTATACTATTTTTTCCCAGTTTCTTTTCTATATTTTGAAAGAGAAATAGCATATTTAAAAGCATGAAAAGTATAAGAAAAATGAAATTTATGAAAGTAAAAATAATTTCATATAACAAAAGTGATAGGAAAACTTGAAGGAGCCACTTTATCCCATTATTAAACATCTGTGAATGTGGGAAGTCTTATTTTTTCAATTTTTTAAATAGTATTTAGTACAGCATCTATAGGGCCTCACTACGTAGATCAGTCTAGTAGTGACTCTCCTGTTTTCAGCCTCCCAAGCACTGGGGTTACAGGCACAGGCCACCACACCCAGTCTCAATAGCCATCTCAGTGCACCCCGGGGGTGGGAACACATTCTTTATGTGCTCTAGACAGAAGTTCTTTTTCTGAGAAGCAAAAAATGTTTGGCTAAAAATGTTTTCCACTCTGTGGGTTGTCTTTTCACCTAGTTGGTGATTTCTTTTGAGGTACAAAAAACTTTTTAATAAGATGAGATCAACAGTTGTTGGTTCTTTGGTCTTTTCCATGTGGTTCATGAACCCTTTGCCTAACACCCATGCCTTCAAAATTTCTACCTATGTTCTCTTCCAATTCTATTTTACTTTTTTCCATAAAATTAAGAAAAATCTACAGCTTTATTAAACATGATAGCACACACCTATAATCACAACTCCTTGAGAAGCTGAGGCAAAGAGCATCACAAGTTCAGTGACGTCCTAGGCAATTTGTTGAGATTCTGCTAAAAACTTAAGAAAGAGAAAAAAAAAGGAAAAGGAAGGGAAGAGAGGGGAGGGGAGGGAAAGGGAGAAGAGAGGGGAGGAGAGGAGAGGATAGAAAGGGGGATTCTAGCAAAAAGAAGTTCAGTGCTACAGCACTTGAGGCCTTGCATTTGAGCCTAATCATGCAAAAAATTCAAAAAAAAATAAAACATAAAAAATTCCAACTTCAAAATATGCTTTTTTCCCTATAATAACAAAATGTTTTAGCTTATTCTAAAATATATTTGATACATTTCCATTTTAGATGGTATGCTAAGATACCTCTTATTACATCATATAACAATTAGTCTGCTGGCCTGAACTTTGTATTTTGAGTTCATTCTTTTGTTCACTACAGCATAAAGGAACTGCATGGTCCGTGGGTTGCTTATTGCTCCATTCTTCTCTATTTCATTCTATTCTACTTCCCATGTTGAAACCACACAGTTGTGTCTTTTCCTTGCACAACCTACCTGGGCATTCTCCTTCATACAGTCAGCTTGCTAAAAGGAAGTGCATACTCTCCTCACCAAATGCATGTCATTCACTCAAATCATTCTCT